TCCCTGGGCGGTGAACACGACCTACCCACGATATATCTGGTACAAAGATTGTACCTAAGAATAATTAGAGGACTGTTGACGCAAGAAGCTTATCAACGCCACACCGATATATTTATTTGAATTTAAATCGTAAACATGTCCCACATCGATGAGAGGCTTTTCGAATGCACTGTATACAAGGTTTTTAAGAAATGCACTAACGAAAAACGGCTTGCAGGGGAAAAACCGTATGGCTGTAAAGTATGTAGAAAAGATTTCTCCCACAAAGGGGACCTGACACGGCACCTTAGAATCCATACAGGGGAAAAACCTTATCGTTGCATGACATGTGGCAAGTCATTTGCTCATAAAAGCAACCTCACGCAGCATCTCAGGCGGCATACCGGCGAGAAGCCTTACGAGTGTTTTGACTGCGGGAAAACCTTTTCAAGAAAGGCCGGGCTGATTCAGCACATCCGGCTACACACGGGAGAGAATCCCTTCGAGTGTTACTACTGCAAAAAGTCATTTCCTCGCAAGGGAAGCCTAATCAGTCATATTTGGCACCATAATGGAGACTGGCCCCTTAGGTGCAGTTATTGCAACAAGGGATTTGGGGATCAGCACCATTTACTGATTCATGAAAGAATTCATACAGGTGAGAGACCCTACGCGTGTAACACATGCAAAAAAACATTCGCAGACAAGAGTATCCTTGCCCGCCATGTAAAACTTCACGAGGTCTCTCTTTTTTCTGGGGAAGAATCTCCCCGCAACGAAAATAATAGACTCATATGTGACATTTGCACAGAACAGACACCCTGTAAATGCCTGGAACGTGGCAAGGATTTCAGGGACTATGGAACTTTACAACGACACAGAAAACAACAGGTACCCATGAAGTTCCACCTGGAAAGGGCAGAGGAGGATCACTGTGCAACAGGAGACTCTCAACCGCTAGATTCGTTGATCAACAGTGAAGCCACGGATTTAGAAAGTGACTTAGGACAGCTTTCACTTGATCCTACAAAATCGAGAGAAATCTGCGTTCTTCAAGGCAAGGCCAATGCAAAGAACAATCATCGACTACAATCGCATAGCCAGTCTGAGTATCTAGCGCTTGGCCGTGAAGCACCAAGCAGGAAAATCGAGTCAGCACCAAGCAGGAAAATCGAGTCAGCACCAAGCAGGATAATCGAGTCAGCGCCTTTGTATGAGGCAACGGAAAAGGGCATCGTCACACTCGATGTCAAAACGGGTTGTTTGAGCAAAGAACAATGTGACAAAATTCTGTTCTCTTCTGGCACCGTGCGTATAAGAAGCCCTTCAATAGGTTGCAATTGCACATTCAAACTGCAAAATGGATATACGAACGAATCGGAGAACGACTACGCATGGGAACCGGACAACAGCTGCCATGGCGAAGGGAAGGAGAGTTCGAATGTGGGAGATAACTATGAAACAGCTGGCTCGAAACACGGTGATTTTCGATTCGCTGCAGGTGATGGCGATGGCGATGGGCAGTTGGCGTCAGAATCTTCCATTTTTAATTTCCCCGATGGATATCATGGAAAAAGAGAAAGTGAAGCGTACATCAAAGAGGAGTTTGAGTTTTTTGAAGACACCGACAATAATTTTTAAAACATTATTTTTTTGTTTTTGTTTTTGTTTTTGTTAATGCAGATTTTTGTGTATCTCTGTATGTATATTTATATATCTATAACTGAACGGGATCAAGATTTTTGGTGTTTAGCATACTAAAGTTATCTGATAACTAAGCAGTGAAACTGGATAACTTACAGATCCTCTTTTCCTTTCTATTATTTCCCCTCTATGCTAATCTCCACGTTTTCTACTTTTCCTATTCCTTCCTCCTATCTTAATCCTTTCTGTCTCTCGTTTCTTTTTCTCGCCCGTTCCTCTATCATTCATTACGTTCATCTTTCTTCATTCCTCTTTTACCCTTGTGATCTATTCTCATTTATTACTTATCTCGCATACTAATTTCTTCCTCGTTTTCTATTTTACCTTCCCTTTGGCAATCTTTAACACATTTCTTTCATTTCTCTCTCTTGGTTTACGTTTATTTCTCTCTTTTTTGTTCTTTCTTTTAATCTTACGTCCTTTTACCTACCCCCTATCCTTCATCCCAGTGCCCTACCTGTCCGCTTCACACCCTCGATCCTTGGTCTCGAATCCTGTCCCGAACTTTGGGTAATCCAGCGGGCGGCGTTCAGACACGCTGGAGATGATTCCCACCCAAACACTCACTACACCTTGCTTGTATTGCTGCCAAGCCATGATATTGATATATATATATATATATATATATATATATATATATATATATATATATATATGTAATATGTTAATAAAAACTATTGTGTTTATTGCTTCGATTCTTCTCCTTGTACTTCGAATACTTCAAATCCTAAAGTGGCCGAATAAGCCAGGTGGCAGGTCCGTCATTATTTTGCGAGATTTCATCGGCCCTTACCGAAAATATGGTCTCCTTTTTAAA